TGGAAAACTTGGGTTCCCTAAATATGGGTTCCATGAAAAATGGGTTTCATGTTTGGAAGAACAACTTTAGAAGTGCACTGGCTCTCTTGTGGATGGAAGTGAGTCTGAATTTAAGATTTTTGCACATTAATGAAGTTAATAAATTAATTGATGTTTGAAACTTAAAGAGCATTGGGTATCCCACAAGCTGCACTATTTGCTTGTGGGAACTCAAATAAGTACTAAAGCATATTCCTCATGTGATTAAAAAAAGGCCACTTTTAACAAAAACATAATCTCCTTTTAAATTTTAACCCCGAATTGCAACTGTAACAAAAATGTCAATGTATTAAGGCTGGTCATAATGTGCCCTTTTTCTTTAGGATAAGTTTGATTTTGCACAAGATATAGTACACTTACACACACACCACATACAAGCAAATACTTCTGACTCATACAAATACACATTTAGAACTAATACCTATAAAAGAGTATCACAAATTAAATAAAAAGTGCACAAGTTTTCAATAGACTTAATCAACATGTTTTACAAATTCTACAGAACATTTTATCATTGTCATTGGGAAAACAAACAATTTAGAGCATTATTTAAAACTGTATGTATCACAGGAGCCACCAGTAAGTTATGGCAAATACAGCATTTACACCATTGTGTCACTGAAATCTAGTTGAAAAGACTAAAGTGCTATAACATAAAATACTTTTAAAAACCTTGTTTAGCATATCTTGAGGGACACTATGCATTATTTTCTATTAGCGATTCAGAAAGCAGCACTCTACCTGTGAAGCTCTGATCTGGAGAGCAACCAAAGGTCAGAAGTTTGTGTCGCTGGATCATTAAAATTGCAGAACTGAAAAACTCACGAAAACATACATTTCCTGAGACGTCCAACTTTCCAGTCTGGAGTTCTAACAGAGGAGATCCTGAATGGGTAACATTGGCTAAAGCATCTTATAGCCTCAAAGAACTTAAAACAATATTAAGAAAAGATGTTAAGAGAAGATGTGTGTTTGCTTGTTTGTGATTTATTTTTAAGTTCATCTTCGATTCTCCAGCTTGAAGTGTTACTGACAACATAGTTAGACTACTGCTAGGCATTTCTTATTTATGATGGTCTTATTTTTCACTGGTTTTCTAGTGATTTTTCTCCTCTTAAATATTTAAATATTTGAATTATGTTTGTGCCTACTTATGTAGGAGATATTGATTTTAAGAGTTAAAACTTCAATAGAATCAGGTTGATTGATTAGAGTGGTTTCCACTTGAATAATGTGTAAGATGTTCATTCTGTGTGTGTGTGTGTGTGTGTGTGTGTGTGTGTGTGTGTGTATACACATAGGTGCATACATACCAAACACTTCATGCTCTAATACATTCACTGTTAGGTGGTGCTCCATGAAAAGTAAGTTTTCCTAGTATGGCTGAAAGTGAATATTGAGGTCATCATATAGAGTATATCCTAAGGCTTTTAAAAGATGCCTCCTCATTCTCTGCATTCATATGACTGTGTAGTAATAAGGGAGACCTAAAGGATGAAATGGCAGGAGTCATCACCATATTGGGCCTTCAAAATTACAGACAGGAAAGCAAACCCAAAAATGATACTCTTTGCATATTTTCCCTCATCAGTCACTCACCCCTTTGATTTCCTGCTATAATTCGATAAAAGTTGGATTTTGTTTGTTTGTTTTTTCTTCCTTGCAGGACTAGTGATGGAAAAGTCTTAAGAACTAAGGAACACAAAATGTGCACCAAGATGTATCTCCTACCAGTTGGGGGTTTATCTGCAGCCCTTGTGCTCAGATGCTCTGGAAACACAATGTCTAACTAAGACAAAGGAGCTTAGGCTGATGGTAAATGCTAATCACATCCCACTAGTCCTCACCCCACCTCTTTATTTAAGGCCCACAGCCTGTTCTCCAAGTGTGTTCCAGAGCAGGGCTAATGGACAGAAGACAGCCAAAGGCATCTTCTCTTCATTCTCCTTGCAAAGGAATCCCTTCTAGTGAACTTTTCCTCTAGCTGGAGGACCCGGGGTTCACATCTACCTGTTCCCTCCTTTGGAAATTAAGGCAAGTCCATGTACTCCCAGTGCCTGCTACATATACACTGTATATCCATATGGAAACCAAACATTGGTTTGGAAATATCACTTGTCAAACAAGGTCTCTATGTGCAGATTATTAATAGCAATTAAATGCTTTCTCCAGTTGAAAAACTGCACAATTAATCTAATGCTTCACCATGTTTATTTTTTTTTCCAGCACCCAAATGACAAATATGACAAAGCTAATTCTAAGCGAATATTATAGGAAAGCATCTAAGTTCAAGAAATTACAACATAGTTACCTCTATATTTTACTCATTTTTCATTAATATGTTGAAAGATCTATTTTCTCATACATTTATAAGTCAAATCCTTGTGTCATTGTAAGTTTGCTTGGCTAAAGGTCCTCCTGAGGGATGAATAATGAATAGTCAGAGAAAACCTGCCCAAAAAACAACTTCACAGGACATTAATTCCAATAAGCTATAGTCCTTATAAAAGGAATCATATTCCAATGCACTTAAAGAGCAGGTAAAAGATATAGAAAGACAATAAAACTGAAGGAGAGAGGAAGCGGAAAGCAAACTATATTTGTAGATAATATTATCTATCCATACAAAAATATTTGAATATAATCAGCTACTCTACTTTCAAAGTTCTCGTCAACTCTTTTTCATACATTGTTAAGGGTTTTGGTCTTAAAACTAAAGTATTTGATATCATCAAAGTTTTCACTTGAAAAGAAGAATTGTCACTGTGTCTGTCCGTGACTCTGTGTGTTTGTGTGTATTTGTATCTGTTCGCCTGGAAGGAGTAGGTACAGATTGGTTTATTTTGTTTGTTGATACAAATTCACACAACTGGAATGGAGAATATATCTGTTGCATGTATATATGCACACTACTTCGTCAACAAAACACAGCTGTATACTTTTCATAAATGTTCTCTTCAGTCTAAACAATTTCTCTCCCTTCCCCACAGTGGTTAATAAATACTATTTTCTGATAGTGAGTATTTATAATCTTTTAATCAACTCTTGATTATGTATAATTTTAATGTACATAAACTTGGAATCAAATCCCTTACCTAAAACTCAGAGATTAAACCACACATATGTTTAAATTAATTAAAAACTGAGAGCATGCTTTTATTTCTCTATGGTCCCACTTTACATGGATTATGTCGTTTTCCCCCAGGAAACTATTGAGGTGTGATTATTTCTAAACATGAAGATAAGATAATTCAGAATTGTACAAATTTCAGCAAATCTTATAGATTTTTATAAATGCCTCAAAATAGTCCTGTGAGGCATATAGGAAAGGGTTATTGTGCTCTTTTAAGGTTATTTAGAGCTGTCAAATATTGCAAAGACACCAAGGGGGAAGCAATGCTTAAAGTTGTATTGCAGTTTTCTTCCTCATACATGTGGACTATCACATGGTAGAAGGCAGAAACTTTCTGTGAAAATTTGGCCTCTGCCTCAAAATTAACCCTGGGGTGAGACGGACGGAACACAAAAGTGATTTTCAAAATCTGCTCAAGTCACATGTACTTAAGAATCTCCTGAAGATGCTTCATGGATCCTTGAGAGGTCACAGTCGTAGTTTCAAAGACATTGTTCTCATTCATTCTGTTACCCTTCCTTCTTCCTCAACTTTAATTTAAAAAATTCAAATTGAAGCTTCTCAGAATATGTTCCTCAAAATTTGGGATGTAGAATGACATGTTGGGAAATCTTAATTTGGTACAAAGCTTACACAACCTTTCATTTCTTTCTTTCTTTTCTTATTTTAATTTTTTTAGTCAAATTAATTGCTAGAAGAACTTTTGTAAGTGTTCTTTTCAGAGTTTTCTGGTTCTATTTTTTAGTTAAATATTTTTCTTTTATAATTTTACTTTTATTTACTTTTTCATGGAAAGTCATTTTATTTTAAATATAGCGGTGTGTACATGTCGATCCCAAACTCCCAATCTATCTCTCCTGTCCCCCACCCTTTCCCCTGTAACCATAAATTTGATCTCTTAGTCTGTGTACCTTTTTCTGTTTTTTTAAGTTCATTTGTATCTTTTTTAAAATTCTACATATAAGAGATATCAAATGTTATTTGTCTTTCTCTTTCTTATTTTACTCAGTATGATCATCTCAAGGTCCAACAGAGTTTTTTGATTTTAACACACATAATTTTTCATTTACCGGGCATTCAAGACAATATTTAAGACATTTCTGAATTAAAATGACATCCATCTCCTCACCACCTCCATTTTTCAATATGGAGTTGGCACTAATTGTTCTTCCATAAAAGTTTTTTTATTCTATATTTATAGCTGCCTTCAATAGAAATACTGTGAAACACTATTGTTTTTAAATGACACAAAATTTACTAATTATGGCCTCCAATATTACTGATGCAGGGAAATTGATTTGATGCATATTATCTGTGACCAAAAGTTAGCAAGATTGCAGACTACAGAATATTATACCAAATCCTACAAAACAAGTAAATTTCAGTACAACAATGTAATACACATTATGCTGGGCATTCAATTACTTTTAAGTCCCATACAGCATCAGATTAAAAACAGCGAGCAAGAGAGGGAGCAGAAAGTTTCATTTGGAGGAAAGTGTAGGAGCCCTAAGTTGAAATCAGAAACACAATCAAGTAAACACCCATAAGTTACAAAGACTAATTCTGAAAAACAAAATTTACTAGTCTTTTTTTAATCCCTAACACTAGAAGTAGGTTTTGCTTGTCAAATGGGAAATGAAATATTTATAATAATGAAGAATATGATAATAGTCACTGAAGAAATGGTTTTCCCCCTTTCCCACCCACTTTCAACCCTTATCCCTTCAGAAACTCAGTGGAATAGGAAGATCAGAGTGTTTATAGATAAAACATCTAATACAGTGAATCTTCTCCTTCTTATTCACTGATACTCCAAACAGTACCATCAAGTGTTGGCTTCCCCTTCATCAAAGACATAGTTGAGCTTTATGACAGTGCTGATGAAATCACCAAGTTCTACAAAGTCGGCAGTGACAATATTGATGCCACTCTCTCCTGGCTTCTGTGTGCGGACCCACTGCATCATGGCAGGAAGAGCTCTGAGAAAGGAAAGAAAAAGAGATGTTACAGAAGGAAAGATGTTATTTTTCAAGCTTGCAATCCCCAGGACTTCCTTCAGTTTTCTAATTTACTAAAATAAATGCCCCTATTACAGATACATAATGGAGAAAAAAAAAAACAAATGGACGATGGTAAATTCTTAACCTCTTAAGTGACTCTGCAGGAGAAATACAGTTATCCTTGGAGGGTGGCTCAGATGGTAAAGAGTCTGCCTGCAATGCAGGAGACATGGATTCAATCCCTGGGTCAGAAAGATCCCCTGGAGGAGGAAATGGCTACCCACTCCAGTATTCTTGCTGGAGAATTCCATGGACAGAGGAGCCTGGTGGGTTACAGTCCATGGGATCGCAGAGTTGGACAAGACTGAGAGATAACACTTGGGAATCCACGAGGGATTGGATTCAGGAATTCCCACAGATGCCAAAGTCTGTGAAAGCTCTTTCACAGTGTCTTACATAAAATGAAGTTGTAAAGTCAGTCCTTTTTATCCATGGTTTCTGCAGTCATGAACTCAACCAACCCAGCATCGATTTTTGTGGATATGGAACCCGAGCATATGGAGGGCTGACTGTAGTCACTATATCAGTCAATACTGGACTCCATCTTTGGAGATCTCACATGCCATGAGAATTTATAGTGAAATTTCTCCACTAAGAAAGCAACATTCTTGCACTCATTTTTTAGTCTGCTATGGTGTGATTGCAAACCGTGGAGAACTATGGGTTAGTGAGGTCAGGGATGTGTACATTCACTTAGCAAACATTTATTACAAACCCACTATTTTCAGGAAATGTGCTAGATTTTATAAATAGACATACTAGTGAAACTCCCTGCATTTAAAGAGTGCATAGTTTGGTGGTGGACCGATGGACAAGGAAGACAATTTTAATAGAGTACAATCGGAGCTCATCCTTTAAACTTATTTACTGATCACCTCTTCTATTCCAGACACCTCTGAAGGCACTTGGAAAACTTGAGTGAGCATAGCAGATAAAAATACCCACCTGTGAGGAGCTCACAGTCTAATAAGGAAAGACAAACAATGAATAATCATCATAAATTAACTACATCATTTGATAGGAAGGAAGAAGTGCTATTAAAATGCAGCAAAAAAGGGAAGATTTGAAGTGTGCAGATAGGAGTGGAGCAGATGGCAACTTAAAATAGGGTGCTTACACAAGTGCATTGACAAGGGGATATTTGTGCAAGGGTTTGAAGGAGACAAGGGAGTTAGTCACGTAGATAGCCAGGGAAAACATTTCAGCTGCTGCCATAGCGTTACATGGGTAATATGCCTAAACTTTGTAAAAGAAAGAGGAGACCATTAAAAGATGAAGTTAGAGGAATTATGGCACTGTAGGCTATTACAAGGGTTCTGAGTGTTACTTTGAGTGAAAAGGGGAGTCTTTGGAAGATCTTGAGCAGAATGCTGTTGTGATCTGACTTAATTATAAAAGATGATTCTTTACCACGAGAGCACAGTGGAGAGTCACCTAGCCTCATTTGCAAAATCAGGGAAAACTTTTCAGAAGAGCGCTCCCTGAATGTTGAGAGATTAGGAAGACTTAGCTGGGAGAAGGTGTGAATGGGGGATGGAGGATGATGTGGTATATTTTCAGACAGAGAAAATAACATTTCTACATTCATTAACAGGGGTATGGTGTGCTTAGGAGTAGGACATTTGGACAGACAGATCCAGCTATTAATAAGGATGCAATATCCTATGATAGCACATTGAAGAGAAACCACTATGGCTTAAGCAGGCAGGAAGGGAGGTTGAGAAAGGGATAAATGAACTGAGGTCTTAGAGATGGCAGTGCAATAACAATGAAAGAGTGAGGAAGTCCATGTGGACGTCAAATTCCTGGATAGAATGGAGAGAGAAGGAAAGATACAAAGGTATGAGTGGAGACATCATGATGAAATTAAGAATCTCAAAGAAGCTATAAAATGTAAGGAAGCCTCAAAGTGCTGGAGAAATAAGAAGGGACCAGAAGACAGAAGGTTTTCAGAATGTAAATCAACTTAAAGCTGTTAACCAGGGAAATAATATGCTTAGATTTGTGATTCAGAGAGTGTGGTTTGCCTTCAGTGTGAACAAATGAAGAGAAAAAGGCAAGACTAGGATCAGAACTAACAACCAGAGAGCTGTGGAAGGAATCTAGACCAGAGATAATGGGAACTTACATTGCAGGAGCCGCAATAAATATATTTGAAAGGAACTACGGAGCACCGAAGAATTGATGCTTTTCAACTGTGGTGTTGGAGAAGACTCTTGAGAGTCCCTTGGACTGCAAGGAGATCCAACCAGTCCATCCTAAAGGAGATCAGTCCTGGGTATTCATTGGAAGGACTGATGATGAAGCTGAAACTCCAATACTTTGGCCACCTCATGCGAAGAGTTGACTCATTGGAAAAGACCCTGATGCTGGGAGGGATTGGGGGCAGGAGGAGAAGGGGATGACAGAGGATGAGATGACTGGATGGCATCACTGACTTGATGGACATGAGTTTGGGTAAACTCTGGGAGTTGGTGATGGACAGGGAGGCCTGGTGTGCTGCGATTCATGGGGTCGCAAACAGTCAGACACAACTGAGCGACTGAACTGAACTGAACCGAAGGAGAAAAGGTGGCACTAGTGGTAAAGAACTCACCTGCCAAGGCAGGAGACACAAGAGATGAGGGTTTGATCCCTGGGTGAGGAAGATACCCTGGAGGGGGAAACGGAAACCCACTCCAGTACTCTTGCCTGGAGCATTCCATGGACAGAGGAGCCTGGTGGTCTATAGTCCATGTGTTGCAAAGAGTTGAACATGACTGATGTGACTGAACACACACACACACAAGGAGATAAAAGGACAACATTTGACTGGTGTGGGATTAGATATGATGGAGATGAAGAAAGAGGCCATGGACGATGCCTAGATTTCTAGCAGTATTCTGGCAGGTGAGTATCATCTACTAATTTTGGAAGGATAGGACTGAAGGCTTCCCAGTGGATGTACTAAGTTCAGTCTGAGACCTGTTGATTCTGAGGTGACTTCGGGACATATGGATTGAGATTACAATTGATTAAGTACAGGTCTAATATTCAGGACATAGAGCTGGTCAAGGGCTATCACATAAAAAGAAAAGAGCTATGAGAGTGGATAAAATTACCTGGGAAGATTGTATAGAGAAGGATGAGAAGAGAAAATCTGAATATCAGCTACATGGGCAGAAAAGTTGATTCAATTAAAAAAGGAAGAATTAGGTATATAAGTAGGATGAAAATCAGGAGCATATAGTATCATGAAATCAGAAGAAAAGAAAGTCATGCTTCTTTTGGTTTGTGAGGTTGAAGTACAGAATGTAATACAGTGCCTTTATCCAGATCTCATAAAGCACATCTAGCCAAACTTGACCCATCTAGGCAAAACTAAATAACTGCCTTGGGGTCCATTAATCCTGTGGGCAGTACCTTAAAAATTCTGATCCATGTTTTCCAGCATTTACCTTTGTTTGTTAGATACAGATAGAGGAGAACCCAAAGAGTGCCTCTAAAAGAGGATAGCATGGATCTAAGAGACCCATTGCCATCAGAAAATAGACTGGCAGGTGGAGGAATTTGGTCTTCATAGCCACAGTTTCTGAAGGGAATTCTATCTTGAATTAAAAAACTGTGGATCCCTAGAGCACAGACCCAGGGGCATTCAAGTTCATCAGAGAGACAGATGCCATGGCAGTGTGTGTGCAACCACTCGGGTTTGAATTCCATTACTTTCTCTTCTGGGCTTGCTCGGGCAGATGGCATATGTCTGTTGTGAACACAGTTTCACCTTGGCATTTCAGAAAAAGCAGACACTCTTTGGAAAAAATATCAAACCAGCTCATTTCCTGGGAAGATGGTTGCTTAGCAGATACACACACCTTGAGAGGTGAGAGGTGGCTAGAAGAGTGATGCTGAGGCTGGGGCTGATTCTGTATTGGCTTTAACCAAGTAGCTGGTTTGCCAGATCCCTAGGGTACTAGGTTATGGAAGGTTCCTGAGCAACAATATTCCCATCTGAGAACCATGACCATCATGAAAACAGAAACTCCGATGCCTGCTACTACTCTAAGATTGATATTCCTGGGCCTGAATTTAGAACAACTAATTGCTATCCCCATGGAGAGATGTTAGGATTGTTCTTCTCTGTTTCACTATAAAATAGATTACTTTGAGGATTGATGAAATATCATTTTTGAATAGCTTGTAGTCCTCAGGTGAAATGAGTTTTACATTTAAAATGCCATTTCTCTGAGTCATGGAAATATTTTTCTTTTTCTGTTCAAATATACTTTTCTCAAGTCAATATGATAGCAAAAACAAAATAAGCAATAATGCCAAATTGAATCTCAAATACTCAGATGGACTTAAGTAGAATTATATTAAACAAAAAGACTCAGTGTTCTAGATTAGAACAAACAAATGCTGTTGAAGTTACAATAATTATTTAGAGTGGCATTTCTTAAACTTTAAAAAATTTTTTCCTACCATGGAACCTTTTAAAATATTTTCCTTCCTCACTCTCTTTCTCAATAAAGTTTTTTTTTTTTACTTTTATTAGCTGAAGGCTAATTACTTTACATTATTGTAGTGGGTTTTGTCATACATTGACATGAATCAGCCATGGAGTTACATGTATTAATACCACAGATAGACTTTAAATACATATATATATATATATATATACGTTAATATATTGCTTTTACATAAAAAGAGCACATTTTTTTATTTGCCCTCCTGAGAATCAATTCTTATATTAGATAAATAAATTGAAAAGCCTACTCTGGTGGTAATAAAATATTGTCTCAATGCAATAATTTTCACTGTATAAGACAAATTGGTTAACAAAGACCTACTATATAGTACAGGGAACTCTGCTCAATACTCATTAATAGTCTAAATGGGAAAAGAATTTGAAAAAGAATAGATACATGTATATGTATGGGCTT